GCTGCATATTTCTAACCGGGAGTTAGAGAGGTAAGAACCAATGCCTCAGTCCAGCCAAGGCGTCTAGGTGGCGAGCGTGAGCATGGGCAAGCACTCGCATCCGACCATCAGGCAGAAGGAGAAAACATGGATATGGTCACTGTAGATTATATCAGCCAACATCAGTAAAGCCACAGGCAGCCTCATCAATAGGAATCTCCCATTTTTTCAGTAGAAGTAACCTGAAGGCATCATCAGGGATAGTAAACTATTTTCCATTTCTGATGAGCAGTAGTTTGGTGGGGTATCCCCATCTGTAAGGAACTTTGTGATCCCGCAGAGCTTTCGTAATGGGCAATAACCGCTTCCTGGCAGCAATGGTAGCCTATGACAGATCCCGATAGAAGGAAAGTGATCCATAGGGGTCAGGCAGAGGAGTAACAAATCCAGAAAGGGACATCAGCTGTTCTTTCACATGATAGCAGTGGATGCGGGCTATCACATCCCTAGGTACTGAGTCAGGGAGATGGGTGGGTTTCGGCAACCGGTGGGCCCTGTCGACAATGGTCTCATAGTCTGACAAAGAGGGCAGTAGATCTTTGATCAGTCCTTGTACAAAGTCACACAGCTATACCGGAGGTACATGTTCAGGGACTCCTCTGAACATTATTTTGTTCCGCTGGGCTCTATCTTCCAGGTCTGCCAATTACTGGGATATGGTATGAAGCTCATCAGATGTGTCAGCATAAGCATCCACCAGCTCGTTGTGGGCCTCTGCGTATTTCCCATCTTAACTTCAACGTGATTCACCCGGTCACCCAGCTCGTTTATCTTTCCCCTGATTTGACGCAGTATAGACACCATATCACTATGTAGGGAACTGTGTAATGACACCAGCATATCCTTTAAAATCGTATCCTCTACAGGGGTGTCAGTGGTAGGAAAGTTATCAATGGGGTCATGGAGCTCCCTGGTATCATCAAGAGGAATTGTTACCTGGGGTGTAGAGGATGTTTGTGCAGCCCTCTTCTGCTGAGGATTCGGTGGGCTGTTAGTTTTGGAGGAGGAGCTGCTGGGCGGTGTAGTGCCCCGGGTGCCGCCAGCCGTTCGTTGAAGCGTGTCCTGCAGGCTGCGAGGCAGGGCCACGTGGGTAGCCGAGAGCTGCTCCGGCACCATCTTGCTTGGCCCGGGGCTCCGACCATAGAGATGAAGTCGGTCAGTTTGCGGGGACCGACTCCCCATAACAGCGGCCGCCAATCGTGGATCAATTGCTGCCTGTGGGGATCGGATGCTAGTGCTCAGTCGTTGGTAATGTTGCTGGGTCTGCATTAAGACTTCAGAACCTCTCTACTGTGCGGCCATCTTCCCCGGCGTCAGCCCGCGCCCCCCTGGTGATTCTTTTTCAATGACAGCTTGCTTCTCACTCCTCAGTCATAACCTTTTATGCAGGGTGCCACTCACATTGTTTCCCCATATGTTTCCCAGTGATTCTGTGGAATCTCAACCTGGTTCTGTCGGCTCTCCAGAAACCTATCAGGAATAAGAAGAGAGAAGACTTAAGACAGAAGAGAGATAGAAAAAAGTAGTATAGAAAGTGAAACAGACGATGCCTCACGAGGCTTCATCGGGTCCTGTTTGCCTCCTTCGCCACTTAATTCCTTTCTTCTTAACCAGAACATTGTTCTCCCATCTCTGTGCCCTGCTCCACATTATCCCAATAATTTATCTCCACTGTGTAGATATGGTGTACGCTTGTGTGTCTACCTCTACCACCTCACTGCAGCTTCTTTTAGACAGACTGACTCTCTTCTTTTCTCTCTCTCTCTGTCATTTCTGACCTTTGCCAGTTCCACTATCTGCAGGTGGTTTCAGAAGCCCATCATTCTAGACTATGGAATGTGTCCCTTAATGTACGCCAAGAAACAGATTTTACAGGCAGGAAAATAATCCTATTTTTTTTTGGTCAATGTAATTGAGGATTAACATTTAATTTTAGTCTATACATAATTAGAAGGTGTCTCCCAAACTACACCTCTGATATCTTCAGTCCAGGTGATGAAGCGCGTCAGTTGGGACATGGGGATACATTCATACACGCCTGATACTCAGTGAAGCATTCTGTTACTAGCTTACTGGAGCTCTGTTCACTCATGCGATAATCCATTAGTGCTGGATGCACATATGTCATGTGAGTGTTCCCTGCTGTTTTAACTTTGTTTTTAATAATTAACCTTTTACATAATGAGGAGCCTATTTTCTCTTTTCTGAGCTTTGCACATTTATATATTGGTACAAAAGTATCCTGATTTGTTGATGGAATATCCATTTACAAGCAGTTCCGGACCAAAGCAAGTTTGATTCCTTGGACAGGAGATTACGAAGTGCTCACCTTTAAAAAGTGGTGATTTTGATGCGGTTAGCTCCAGTTCAGTAGCTAGTTGGATCCCCACAGGAGGGCTGAGTAGATTTACTGAATATTCAAAATGGCACTTAGAGATACAGACTTTTTTTTGTTTTTAATTGTGTGGGGTATAGACATTTTATTATGTTTCACATTGTTATTATGTGCGATATCTGTTCTAGGAATGTTGAATTAACTGTTGGGACTCCAAGGATTCAGGACAGAGATAAATATTTAGGTGGACAGTGGGAATTTAGAGGTAACTTTTGCAATGGGAGCCTCAAGGGTAACTATTGGACCTTATTATTACACACATTTATTCATTATTATTTCCAGGGTAGTAGCGCTCCTACAACTTGCTTGTTTTTATTGGACCTAGGGCACATTCATTAATATTCATTAATATTAAATATAACATATGATTGCAACATAAATCATTTTGCTTTTTAGTAGGGCTGCAGAAATGAACGATTAATTCCTCGATTAATTGTTAAACTTTTTGATCGATTAAAATTCTTTTGATCAAAAATGAAAACACTCACCTCTCCGACGGCTTCCGGGAGTCCCATCGGAGATCCGGTGACGTCACGGACATCGACTTCACCGGACTCCTCCCCTTCCCTTCGTTAGCCGACGAAGCCACTTGGGCCAGTGAGTTTGCCCAAGAAACTTGTTCTGCACGAGCGCCAGCCAAGGCATATACACATACACCACAGCAATGAAGTAATAAAATGAACTAGGATCACACTAATCCAGCACGTTATTATTCTGAGTTGCCCCACTCAAGCGGCGGCCATATTGAGTGGGGCACGTAAGATTAATAACGTGCTGGATTAGTGTGATCCTAGTTCATTTTATTACTTCATTGCTGTGCTGTATGTGTATAGGCCAATGTAGTTGGATCTGTATGTGCGTTATAATTAATCTAAATAAATTTTGATTAATCGAACACGAAAATTTTAATCAATAACAGCCCTACTTTTTAGAAACATTAAAGCTGAACTCTGGGATAAGCAAATATTATCTAAATACAAGGGATATGCATATTCTTACTTGAAACTTGGTGCATTGTGTATTTCTTTCAGATCTGTGCAATAATCCAGCATGAAACTTTGCCTTGGTATACCTGGCACTGCTGATCATCTAAACGTGTGTTGTAGATGATCAGCAGTTCCAGGTTTAGGTGAGGGGGAATCTGCTTGTGGCAGTAACAGCTTCACATACTGTTCCTTCTTTGTGTCTGTTGTCTGTATTTGACTTCCCTTCTCAGCTTCTTTGCTTCCCTTCCCTCCCCATCACCATGTAGACACCCTGTGTAAACATATCTTTCCACTCGGTGCAATCTAGCAGGCTAGCTTAGCACTTTCTGTACGCCAAAATAGAAAAGGTCTTAATTACCTCCAGGCCCGTCTTTAATACTGATCGGACTCTGGGCAAACATTTTCTTGCCCCCCCTCCCCCCCCCCAGGAATTTCACCTCTCCAACACCCAGAAAAAAAAACAGCACACATAGATCATAGACTTCTCTCAAAAAAAACTTTGACTGCAGGATTTCAAACTAATTGCAAGCTCAGCCGTTTATATTAGGGATGCCCGATATATCGGCCGCCGAAACATATCGGCCATAAATGCCACTTTTGGCATCATGTCTCCAGGGTATTTGGTACCTTCCTGCCCACATGCAGGAAGGGGGTTTTTTTTCGGTGCTGATCCTATGGTACGACCGCGGCGGGCAACGGGCTCAAGGGGCAGCTGCTTTGGGCCCCACAACCATGATAGGGCCCGGGGCAAGTGCCCTCTTTGCCCTGCGTTAAAGACGGCCCTGATTACCTCCAGTTTTCTTGGCACCAAAAATGTCAGTATTGCTTAATGAATTTGTTACAGATGGTTGATGCATCAAAGAATAGTGGTTGATTACTAAGCTCATGTAATCGTATCACGTACAGTTATATACTTTATGTGGTGTGTCAGTGTTCTGCTGCTTTCAAATGCAGCCGCTGTCTCCCGATCATTAACTTGAACAGGTGACAGTTGGCGCTTGTAAACGGCAGATTTAGGATTCCTGCAGGAAATCACAAGTTCCTGCTGCTAGAATCCCTAAACATACCTTAACTATAAGTGTGAATGTAGCCCTAGGCTGGGTTCACACCTTGGCGGCACTGTTTTTGCTTGTTTATACGTGCATTAACAGCATGCAGTTGTGTGCGTTTTTTGTAACATTATGTTAGGAAACATTTATTATTACCCAGTTTTTTGGTCAAATATTAAAGATCAGGTCACGTCGGTTAAATAGACACTAAACAACATTATTGCTGGAACAAAATGCTGTGTACACCTCTTAATTTATCTTTTAAAAAACAATCACTGCATTCTGAAGTTTGTACAGCTAGCAAGTTGTCCTTAACATCTAATGAAAGGCTCCCTAAAAATATTACTACCAATGCATAAACAGTGCTTCAGGTTTCAGAATTGGCCTGCAGTTTTCCTGCTTGATGTTGTAAATGCATACATTATGGTTGTTTTTTCCCCCTGAAAAAATATAAATATATATGATTTAACCTCCTCACTTTCTTACTGTAAAAGATGTAGGTGCAGATGGAATATTTTTTTTTCCCCCCAGGAATGTAAGTTCTGCTGGAGAAGAGGCACGCAGAAGAATGAGAGAGTGTGATGGACTGACTGATGCCTTGCTGTATGTCATCCAGTCTGCACTAGGGAGCAGTGAAATTGATAGTAAGGTATGCTTTATTGAAATGCATGAAAAAATGCACCACCATTACCTAATTATACAAATATTAATTGGACATTTATAAACATACATTTTTTGCACAAGATTTGTATTATATCTACAACTATCGCTTACCACAAGTGAAAAATCTTTTAAGAGTAATGCATAAGGGTGTGCTAGGTTAATAAAAGTACAGGGCTTTCTGGTCAGCTCACAGTCATAAATTTACACTTCAGTAAAACATCAAGAATGTGGGGGGCGTGTCAGAAACATGGCGGAGTGAACATGCGTCCCTTCTCTGCTCTCCAGACCCGCTCCTGAAAACAAGATTGACATAGCACTTTACCTGTCTACAATGCACAGATCGCGCCAGAAAAAGTACCGCAATACTCCACAGCGTTTGGCACCGGCTAAAATCAAAGATTTCTTTAATCCGGCGGTCCCGCCGGGAATGAGTGGAGGCCCCGGTAAAGCCGCAGTCTCACATACCGTACCGCCGCCTGAGCTATCAGTTCCCTCCTCCCCCTCCGAGCCGCCTCCAGGAACCTACCTCCAGGTGTAGTGAGGACAGCGGGGCGATGTCACCTACAGCAGGCATGACGGAGGGCTTGGAAGCCTAGGCCGCGACGATACTCAGACGACCTAGACATTGGGGCCTTGCTTCGGTCTTTGCCCACTAAGGCTGATATTGAAACACTGGTAGTTAAAATCGTGGAGACCCATAGCCAGGACATTCAAGAACTGCGGCAAGAGGTACATCAACTCGCCACAAGGGTCGATGGCAGCAAGACGAGCACAGCGGTGATGGAGGTTAGACTCGCGACCCTAGAGACCGCCCGTGATCTGCAAACAGAACAGTTGTCAGAGATGCAGCTACACATGGAAGATTTGGAGGATAGGAACAGGCGCAAAAACTCGAGGGTAAGGGGCATTCCTGAAGCCATGGGGCCAGAAAATGTGCACGATACAATTGTGGCGATATTCAACACCCTGTTGGGAAATCCCCCTACTACAGTGATCAAGCTGGATTGGGCACACAGAGTGTAACAGACTTACCTCGGGATGATCCAGCGACGCACTCTGTGGCTGCGCACGCACGGCGCGCTGTGCTGCTCCTCCCCCGCACGCCAGCTGTCAGTTTAACCAGTTGACATCCGCGGTGTTAAACCCCCTTCCCATCCAGGCCATTTTTCAGTATTCAGCGCTGACCATATCTGCACGCAATCCCTGAACTTGATCCACCAATGAAAACAAGGATACATTGCATGTCTGGACTGCTTCTAACACATCCCTTAAGGAGGGCTCTGTTTCAGTCTGTACAACAGCCACATCCTTACCTTTTGGATGTTTCTTTACCATCTGGCAAATCACCTTGATTGGTATCTGATCTTCTCCTCTCCATTTCCTCACCTCACCCTTCCCCCTCATGCAGGGGCTGACTGGCAACTTTTAGCCCAGGGGGCAAGTATAACCCAGAGGTTCATGGTGCGGCAACTTGGCCCCCCTCCTGCTCTGCCTCTTCCCCCGCCCGTCTGCCACTTTTGCCATCCTTGTAACAGTAGTGTGAATTTATTTATCGGTTTAGGAAATGTAAAGCACATTGGTAATGGAGGGATGCCTCGTCAGGGCTGTGCGCGTGCAAGCTTGGAGCGGTGAAAATAAGAAAAAAAAAGTGTGGTGTGTAATATAGTGAAATGGAAAGTGTAAAATTATACAGCAATCAATGCAGAATGGCATCGATATAACTAATGATCTGTAATAGGGCGGGGACGGAGTACTGGACGTCTTCTATTTCCTTTGTTTTCATTCTTTGCTGCTTTGCTGTACTGTTCATATGTACTAATTGCGAAAAATTTTAATTGATGTGATACATTTACTTGAACCCGCTCGAAGTGGTTAATGAACTCTGCCACTGTCACAATTTAGCATTCATCCCAGAGTCTGGTGCTTTTCAAACACTTGTTCAATTAATGTATGTAATGTTCCCATCTGAAGCCTATGCAGATATCCAAATCTGGAGTAGGGGAGATACATACAAAAGTAATCCCAAAAGACTTGGATTCTTTCGGATTTACAAGATATGTCTTGGGATCGGGAGGGATTGATTAATAATTTTGGAAGGTAGGACATCTTTATTGCCTGGATCCTGCCAAACCATCGCCTTTTATCTAACTATTATGCTAGATCTTTCTAAAGAGGGGGATAACTCAAGTGTATAATAAAACAAGAAAAGATAAAACTTCAAGATAAGGGAGTCTTGAACTCACGCATAGTTAGATGGCACATAAAATGGGGTATAGGAGTCTAGGGTGATACTTGGAGCATGAGCTTTAGCCTCAGTTATGCATAGGCTGTATATTTCCACAAATGCAGAGTATGGAGAGTGTGTTAGGTAGGGTGGCGTGAGATTGAGAAAGGTGAAGTAAAATGTCATCACTAAAATACAATACAATTTGATGGGTGCCTGTGATTTCTATGCTCTGGATAATAACATTGTTTCTAATAGCCATTGCCAAACGTTCTAAACTGTTAATTTTGACAGTAAATTTCGATTTAGTTTTAGTCAGTCTTTTGACTAAAATGCTATTTCATTTTAGTCATATTTTAGACATCTGAATTGTTTTAGTTCTGGTCTAGTTTTAGTAGACTAAATATCATAAGATTTTAGTTGACTACATCTACAGTATACAGTATTTAGTCTACTAAAATCTAGTTGGTTTAGTTAAAGAGTAATTTAAGAATTTCCAATCTCATGATTTACTCCTGGAGTACGCATGTATTAACCTGTTGTTACTTATGGTATTAGGGTTTGAAAATACAATACAGATGCAGATTTAACTGTTGTGATACATAACATGTCTTTATTTTTCTTAAAATTTGATTAAACTAAGTCTTGTAAAGAAACAATAATATTGAGTATTTTCAACAAGGGACCAGTAATTAGATATGCATTTATTATAACAACTTACATATGACATTCTTCATTCTTTCAAGCAGAAGTGCAACTCTAAAATATTAAAATAAAAAACGATATTGGCTGTAATGTCATTGCACATATTACCTATTAGCTGTCCTTTCAGGATGGAACTAAAACAGGAAGTCCAAAGAGATTAGTTTTGATTGGATCTCTTCCCAAATTGTCTCTCTCTCTAACATTTTAGTGTAGTTTTAGTTAGTCGACTAAAATGTCAATATACTTTCCTTATAGTTTTAGTCATCATAACATAAGTTTTCATTTAGTTTTAGTCTAGTAGTCACTGAAAAAGTGTCGATGACAAAAACTGTGATGAAAATTAACACTGGTAAACAAAATTAACACGGGTTCTAAAGCTTTAGCAAATTATAATGGTAAAAGGGGGCATCCTTGTCTGGTGCCTCCATGAATATGAAATATAGATAGTAGAAGAGAAAGCACTGCACCGTTTAGAGGCCTTGGGGTATGAATAAAGCACCAAGATGCATTTGAGGAAGTCCTCATGGAAACCCCATTTGCAGAGCTCAAAAACAAGGTATTCCAAAGATAGTGTATCAAATGCTTTATGCACATCTAGGGACAATCGCAGATTGCAAAGGTGTGGGAATGTGCAAGGTAGAGAAGCTGTATTACCCATCACAAGTTGCACAGTTTGCACAGGGCTTTACAAAATAGAGGGTAGAGGACAGTACAGATACAATACAATTTTAATACAGGAGGGTTAGGAGGGCCCTGCTCATAAGAGCATACAATCTAGTAGGAGGGGCAAGTAATACAAAAGGTAAAAAAATATGTGGGACGAAATGATGGAAGAACAGGACAGTTATTATGTTCAGGTGGGATAGGCTTCCCTGATGAGTTTTCTCTTAATATTGGCGTGAAATTAAACCACATATGTGGGTCTCTTTCAGGTTTGGGGAGCATTGCTATGGCTGTTACTAATATATCCAGTGAGAGAATTATCTTGCTTTTGGGAGGGAGTTAAAAAGATGTGTCAGATGAGGCACCAGGATGTCAGCATTTTTTTTTTTATAAAATAGAAGAGAATATCCAACTGGCCCTTGTTTCTTACCCGATTGCATATGGTCAGAATATTCTGTTTAGTTTTTGGGGAGATGGGTGTGAATTTTTCACTCAGTGCAGAGATGGTTAGCCAACATGTGCCAGATTTGATGCTTTGAAAATAAAATGTATGCTTGGACTAGAGGAGTTGGTGTTCTGCTATATCCATTGGATAAAGGTTGAATTTTGTTCTAATGCTCTAGTGACCAGTTTGTGGAGTAAAATTGGGGAAGGTGAAGCTTTTTATCCCCATGAAAGTGTTCTACACAACTAATAATGAACAAAGATATAGATAAACCTGAGGACAAAATCTTAGCTAGAGAAGATAAATTAGGGTCCTAGTGGTATAGGGCAACATAAGAGCAAGAACAATAGCAATGACATGTATCCAGCATCAGAGTCCACAGCCCCCAACTGTTCAGATCAAGCAAGGGGTGGAATTATGTAAGTCAATTTGATATGCAGGTCGCAGAGGTACCTGTTCTATTCGAGCCCAGTGAATTATTACTTGCCGTTCCTAATAGCAGGGTTAAAGAAGCATGATGATCCACAATTGTAAGCCGTGAAATCCACTGTATAGTTATAAATGAACAGTGAAAGTAAAAGAGTGTGCTGAGTTCTCAGTCTCCAGATGAAGCCTAGAGTGAGCTGGATAATTGAACAAAAAAAGAACATATGTTAGTTATTGTGAGTATTGTCCAAACAAAAAACTCTTATGCACATGTGAGTAATGCATAAAACAGAGATATCTAATGGCCCTGTCAGGACAGCTCCAGGGTACCTAGAAATAGTTATATTACAAGTAGGTGGAATATGGCTAGGGTGAACCTACAATCTGCCTAAATATAGTATTAGGTGGGGGTGTGGCTTGGTGATCATGTGAGCAGCAGCTGATCGCTCTGTCTCCACCGAACATATGTGAACTGCAGCACAGAAGACGGACCAAAATTTTAAAGAGAAAAGCCGGTAGTGATACACAGAGAGAGGCGGCGAGGAATTGGAATATGTGGCAAGCAAAATGAAAGATGAGCAAGCTGGAAAAGACAAAGCAGCTCAAGATGGTGCCGGACAGCAGCTGCCACATGCTGTAAGAGAGAGACAGTAGGAAGTTGCTGGCAGATTGGGGAAATATGCTCATACAGCAGCCAGAGCATCTCCTAACAACAGAAATTCAACAGCGGGTGAGCAACTGAAAGGGGCTACAGGGATAAGCAGACATGAGCAAATACAAAAAATGAGAGACCGCAAGTGGAGAAAAGGGTGAGCACTCTGAAAGATGAAGTTGCTCCTCTGAGTAGAGATTTAAAAACGGTTAATAATATACTTTTTTTGCATTTTATCCGAATTGAAGATATGGAAAATAGAATGAGATGGAACAATGTACGTATTTTGGGTTTGCCTGAAAGAATAGAAGGCAAGAATCCTATTGAATATATGGAACAGTGGCTTATTAATACATTTGGCAAAGAACCTTTTCACCAGTGTTTGCAGTAGAAAAAGCTAATCGTATTCCCGCAAGACACCTCCCCCAGGTAATCCTCCGAGACCCCTTATCATAAGACTGCCTAATTACAAGGACCGAGACATTATTCTGTCGAATAAAGATAAAGACACCGGCACTCCAAATTCATAAGCAAACGTCTATTTATTGATGTGCAGCATAGTAAATAGCATGTTACGGGGTCACAGAGGATACCCTTCCTCAGGCAAAAGCATTCTGTCGAAGGCACGTATACAGGGAGAAATATATTTTCTTGGTTCAAGAATATCTTTTTTCCCCGATTTTTCAGCTGATGTTCAAAAGCAACGCACACACTTTATGGCATTAAAACAACGCCCTGGAAGGCTTCAAGTTCCTTATGCTATGTTATAGCCGGCTAGACTGAGAATTACTGCTAATGAAAAAAAAAAACACTTCTTTGATACATCGGGAGCAGCTACTGTGTGGCTGGACAATAATGAGCATAATTTTAGAAAACACACTGTTACATGAAATGTGTTCGTATAAGCAAACTCATGACTTTCAAAGGAGAGTTCTTTTTTTGTTGTTTTTTGGGTCATTTATGGCCATCATAAATACCGTGTTTCCCCGAAAATAAGACACTTATATTTTTTTTGGCTCAAAAAAACACACTACGTACCCTAGCTCCTCCCTCCAGTACACAGTGCTCCTTAAGCCGCGGCCAGACGAATCTTCGGCGTCCAACTGTTTGTGTCAGTGAACGCTGAAGATTAACTCTCAGCATCCGCAGTCCGCACAAGGGACCAGGTTTCTCCCAGACTGCCACCACTTCTCTGACAACTGTAGTGGTTGTACTGGGGAACCAACTTAACATTGCCTCCTGCCCAGAACCGCACGTACCTGGGGTGATAGCGGCACAGCTCTGCTTCCCAACTACCACCCTCTGCGATACAGCTCTGTTGAGACCTCCACAACCGCAAGTACCTGTGGCTAACTGCTATATTGCTACTACATAACGTGCCAGGGAATTGTCATTGCCTTACTGGAGGGACTATTGCTGTTATCACTGTTTCGCTTGTATTATCTTTTCCCACACCTGTGACATACCAGAACTGTACTTACTTAACTGTGACTTGCCATATCAATTGTGTGTGTATGGGCATACTGTAGGAAGTTGTGTACTCCAATCATAGTGAGGTACCATACTTACCATCCTGCCTTGCTGATCCTCAACTGGCCTCTTGGGGACGCTTCAAAGGTGTCACAGTGATCCTGATTACCCCATTATTCCACCACATGATGTTACCGGTTTCATACACATCTCTAAGTTGCTGAGAGAGTATGATAGAGACCGCTCACTGACTAAACCGTTAATTACGTTACTCCGCAGTTGTGATCATAGGCGTGCGTTGCAGAGGTGTTACAATATGGTAACATAATTGTTATACATCAAAATGTCCAAGCATGAGATAACTATTGTATCATAGAATGTGAGGGGGTTGGGAAACATGGATAAACGTCAGGCAATGTTTATGACATTGCTGCATTATAAATCTGCAGTAGTGTGTTTGCAGGAAACTCATTTGACTAGAGAAACTATATAATATCTTAAAAGAACTGTATTCCCAAAGAGTTACCACTCAGTGTTTTCATCATATGCTAGGGGAGTTAGTATATTAATATAATCTGCTGTTATGTTCTTGTGCAGATAGGCTATTGTATATATACTCAAGGTTGTTATATATTCCTATTGTGTGTGATAGATAGATTCAATTGTCTTTTAGCAAATGTTTATATACCACACCCTTACTCTAATGAAGTAATATGAATTTTGGTATAATTTATAGCCCAACGTTCTGGTATTCCTGTTGTAGCAGTAGGGTACTATAATAATGTATTACAACCGAGGCTGGATAGGTTCCAAATCGGTCCCTGAGGGGACAAGTATATAATCTAATGTCTCTAGATACCTGTAAGATGGGATTGAGGAATGTATGGAGACTACAACATCCTCATGTCCATCAGTACTCCTGCTCTTCAGCTACGTATCATACATTATCACGTATAGATTTGGCACTGTGCAATGAGGAAATGCTTCCAAATGCTTATATTTGTCCTATGGGGCTAGGGGCCTCTCAGACCACTCTCCATTATTACTCTCCTTGAAGTTAAAGTCAGATATGATTAGATGCCCACGGACGGTGAACCCATATTGGCTCCTGCTACTGACATTGGAAGATAAGATATTCGCCAAACTAGGCAATTTTTTTCATATTAATGCTCCCTCAGCATCTGGAACAGTAGTGTGGGATATATTAAAAGCGTATATACGTGGACTACTTATTAAAAATATCTATATTAAAAAAGCCATCTAAGGAGTGGAAAGAAACTCTTAAAACGCAGGTTAAAGAAGCAGAGGCGACATATGTAAGCATTTATGTAAGCATTTTAAACTTATAAAATAATAATAAAAGGTAAATATTTTAAAAAATGGATATTCCCCATGCACCTACGGTAGAGGAATGGAAAGTGCATAATAATAATGTTACCAAGGGAAAGATTAATATATCAACATAAGGGATGTATACAGAAGTTTTATCAAATCTGGGAACCATGGCTAGAAGCTATGGGTTCAAACTTGTCGGACTTGGCAAGAAAATATTTATTTAGTTAGATTTATAAAAGTTTCTCTTTTTTTTTTTCATTTTAAATTTTTGTTGTTGTTGTTTTGTGTAGGAAAGATGGGAGAGGGAATACAGTATGTATGAGTTGTAGTATGTATAAAAAAGGAAAGCGTTTCAATAAAGATTAATATAAAATTCAGGAGAAGGGAAGGGAGAAAAAAGGGAAAGAAGAAAGGAGGGGAGAGAGAAGTAAGGAAGATACTATTTATAGAATTAAAGGGGATTTTTCGTTTTCTGATCACATTCAGACACGTATGATAAACACTTTTTTGTTTAGTCATTATATAATTATGGATCACTAATTGAATATATGAAGGAAATAATATAAACCTGATGATTAATGACTCATGTTATTGAATTTTTTTGATTAAAAGGCACTTGACTGGTAGTTAATAATGATACTATAGGAAGAGGATTGCTTAAATATGGGTAGTGTTATAACTTTTTTTACATATTGGATACAAAATCATAAAGGCTATTTGAATATTATATATTTTTATGAAGTAGTAGTTTTGGATGAAATGTATAATAATTTAAAGGGATTAATTGTTAAGCACTTTATTGGGGTTAGATATGGTTTATATATACAGTATACATCATCAAATTGGTATTTTTCCTTGTTTGGTCCTCTCTTATTGGAGTGATTTGAAATAGTATGCCCTTTTTCTTTTTTTTTTCTCTCTGTGAAATTCTTGGATTGTGTTGTGGAAAAAGTTAATAAAGATTCTAAAAATATAGTATTACGTGGATTCATGGTTGAAATTGCCCTCCAGTATAATAGATAAGAATAGAGGATTATTGCACTAACCAGCAGAACATGGGATATACTTCATTAGAGGTACATGTATGCCCAAAAATGTTTTACTAGAGTACAGCTTTAAATAATTTCAAGGAAAAAAAAAATGCTTATAAGGACAGGTGTGCAAGGTCCACAGAAGAAGTAACAGAAGAATATGCAAGCAGTGTAACAAAAAGTACTCAAGTGCATACATTACTTAGAAACTCCACTAGAGCATCATGTGGATGCTTAACACCGCCACTGCCTCTATGTCACATTATCAATTAGTAGAAGTTTGTAATGCAAGCCAACAAGATAGAGTTTTGGTAACTGTTCGTTCGGCCTTACGGTGGCGGTATTGCATGAAAGTTGAAGGCATATCATTATGTCAAACAGCATTAGATGCGTAATAAAAGGCATGGGCGCATTTCTACATCACGATAGTAAGTTGGACGAGATCTGTAAATGTGTGTAAACGTGTGTTATTGTATACTTCAAAATATCTTGGTCTTCCCACCTGACTTACAGACTCTTTATGATTGTATCAAAACAGTTCTCCAGTGAAAAATGGATTGTTGTGCCAAAGCCTTTGTAAGAAATTTAAGGTACTTCTCCTGGATTACTTTGTGGAATTCATACAAAAGTTGTGTGTATGAATTTCACTTTCGAAAGTCTGCAACAAAAAGATTTTGAAAGCGGTGCAGGGCTTCTGGGATTTTGCTATTTGCTAATCTAGGTTACCTCTGATGCCTCTCTCACCAAGAAAAAAATATCAAGTTAGGTACCCTGAGGGTCAACTTAACCTTTATATTTTGCCCATGTAAATGTAGCGCTCACCCCCGAAGGAGCCGCTGGAATATACGGGTCTTCCTAGCCTGTCTTGGGATTTCAGTAGTATTGCCGTCCCAATAGCACTTACCAGCCCTCCAGTGGTGACCGATAAAACTGAAGTCCACAGAGAAGATGCGATGCTGAAGAACTTTATTGTAGAACTTAGTGAGAGAGGGTTAGGGCAGAAGACACCCAGGATGTAATAGACTCCAATAAATGGTAGAACAAAGTACTTGCAGCCTTCACAGATAGAGGAACTTTAAGCCAATTGTGGCAAACTGTGTATTGAGTTTCTGGCTATGCAGTACTAGAATCAAAAGCTACTAGTCCATTTCAGAACAAATCTCCATGGTGCCACAGAGGATCACTTCTCAGGCTCCCCACACCTGGTGAAGTTACTCTGTCATCTCCATCCTCAGCTTTACTCACTTGGCCCCAGACTCAGCCCTCAGTGTGAGCACATGGCTTTCCTTCCTAGGCTTTAGGCCTAGACAGGTCAAGCAGGAGCCCGGAGGAGGAAGATAACCTCACATGTCGGCTCCTAATATTTATGTCCTCTTCCAGCATGCAGGCCATGAACCTCCTAGTAATTGGCTAGGGAGACATAACACGTTATTATTGGTTGCATTGCTCTGTGGCAAGGTTAGACCCAACAGCAGGCAGATGCAAATGATAACAGGGTGCTTAGGGGAAGGATCTGACAGATTACAATTTGACAGCAACTAAATTTATATAGACACACCTGTTTTGACAGAATAACTACATAAAAATATGCCAAGGCCACCTATGTCATTGCAACTTTTTATTTAAAATTGGATATGTTACGGTTGTCTCCTATTAGTAATGTTCCACTTGAGGGTGACCTACAATATGAGGTAGATAGATTTAATTTACTTAAAGGGCTATTGTCTCAAGAAGAGATCTTGGGCACAGAAAAAAAACCTCCATGCTACTCATTTGGTCAATAAATGTAATCTTAATTTACCTGGAAAAAACTGTGATAAACTGCCAGTGGGTACTTGCTTACCGCACACAGCTGGGGGGGACTGCACAAGGGGGACTGCATGCCAGGTTTTTTTTTTTTTTTCGTTTTTTTAATTTGCTTTGGCAGACCATTCTCCCCTGCTTCGGCTGTGAGTTCAGCTTAGCCAAGCCGAAGCATATGCATTCAGCTCGGCTGAGCTGTTCGGCTGCTGTGCAGGCTATTGTGAATAGCCTGTACAGCAGCCCTTCAGTTCGGCTGAACTGAAGTGCTCTAAGTGAGCCGAAGGATTACCCGAAGCTTCGGCTTAATCCTTCAGCTTTTTAGTGAATAACTCTCTTAGTGTTTTTAGAGTTATGCATGTTTTCCCTAAGTATGATGGATTGATTGATCCTACCTGTTGCTGGGTTGGGGCACCCAGCATACAGTGTGGGAGGATCAATTAACAGATTATGATTATGTATCTGACTCTGGCCAATATATAATGTGAGCGGAGATTAACCAAGCAAATTGACTGTGGAGCATGAGACTCACAGGATGGAAGATAACTTTACAACATTGTATCATAAATGCTGTGCCCGCCTTATTACTCTGGTGAGTGCGGATAAGAGAGATTTCCGGCACGGGGAGATTGACCTTTCTTATTTTTGCACCTGAAAAGTGTGGAAGTTTAATGATGTGGACTATTTGTGATTTGAACTTTGAATTACATTAAAGGAGAACTATGGGGTCAGTGTTTTTCCCCATAGTTCTCCTTAGGGTAATGGGAGGACACAAACTAGCGTCCTCCCGTTACCCTAAGCTCAGTATACCGCGAGCATACTGAGACGCCGCAGCCGGAGCGGATCCCGACTTAGATGACGGGATCCGCCCAGCTGCATGAGTGACAGCTGGCTCTGCCTATCTAGAGGCAGAGCCAGTTGATGACCAGCTCTGTTTAGGAATAAAGACTTCCTATCTCTCTCTTCCTTATGGAGAAGGCCCATTATTAATTTTATGCCATCATCCGTATATTCCATATTTAAAACAAGAGGGTTTTTTTTTTTTTTTGCTTTACTGCTTTGTAATACACATGTTACTATATCTTCTTAAATATCCTGAATGCACCTTTGTCCAGTCATAAGTAATAAATACCTTTTACTTTTTTTCCATCCTTTGTTTTATAACAGTGCTGCTGATCTCCTGCAACCTCTTTTTAGCCACTTCATGTCTACAAGTGTGCAGTTTACCCACATTTCTCAGGTTTGGAAGGCAGGGCCAATGCTAGGATCACCAGACATTAGTTAATGAGAACTGCAGATTTGAAAACATTAAAAAGTACATATACTTTAAATTCAGTGACTGATATTTAAGAGACATGTCACTAGATAATAAATTTCAGCTAAAAATTCAAACATGCTCATCACTCACCACCCTACATTTCAAAGGGAAATAGTCTAAATGCAAGTGTAAGAAATGAATCTTCAGTGACATGTTTGCACCAAGTGCTTTATAGGACCTAAGCAAATGTTCTACCTGTTTTTCATAGTCATCTGCCTTGCTGTTCCCAAGAAACTCCATTGCCACAGACTTGAAGGCTTCCCATGCCTTCTTTTCCTTGCAGGCAACAGACGATCAAACTTGTCATCTCGGAGAAGTTCTCGAATCTGTGGACCGACAAAAACGCCTTAATTGATTTTGGCTTCACTAAATCTTAGAAACTTTTCATAGAGATATTGGAAACCTGGTTTTGTTTTGTCCATAGCCTTTACAAAGTTCTTCATCAGCCCCAGCTGATGCAACGGTGGTACCAGAATTTTCTAAGAGTCAACAAGAGCTGGATTTTGAACATTTTTCTTTCCTGGTTCCCAGGAGTATCATGATGGCCTGTCTTTCTTGACATAAAGAGAATCTCTGGCTCGACTGTCCCATTTACAGACGAAACAGCAGTACTTTGTGTATCCAGCTTGCAGGCCAAGCAATAGGGCAACAACTTTCAAATCACCACAGAGCTGCCACTGATGTTCCTCATACTTTATACACCTCAGCAGCTGTTTCATGTTTTTGTATGTTTCTTTCATGTGGACTGCATGCCCAACAGGAACGGATGGCAAAACATTGCCATTGTGCAATAAAACAGCGTTTAGACTCGTTTTAGATGAATCTATGAACAATTTCCATTCATCTGGATTGTGGGTAATGTTGAGGGCTATCATTAAGCCATCAATATCATTGCAATAAACCAAATCACCTTCCACTAAGAAATACTGAACCAGATCTTTTTGGCGATCACGGAAAATGGAGATCCTGACATCACTCTGCAAGAGGTTCCACTTTTGTAATCTGGAGCCCAGTAGCTCTGCCTTACTTTTAGGCAATACCAAATCCCTGTCCAGGTCATTTAGTTCACTCTGTGAAATTAGATGTGGTTTAGGAGGAGCATACAGTGGGCTAAAGTTTGGGTCCGCTGACATCGACGGCCCCGGATCAGCTGCATCCTGCTCATCGTCTTTATCATCATCTGAGTCTAGGGAGTAGGATTCTGGTGGATCTGGAATAGGCAGGTCCTCACCATGGGGTACAGGATGCAGTGTGGATGGAATGTTTGGATATTCCACGGTCCACTTCTTTCTTCAGATCCCTTTTGCAATCGGGGGAACCATGCAAAAATAGCAATGAACACCGTAAAGCAATCAGGACCTTTGGTGCTTGAAATAGCAGCGGTGTTTGCAGTGATGTCCATGGATGGCGCAGTGCAAAATCCATGTAATCCATGTAATGCTTGTTTTGCTGCGTGTGCCCCTGTTCAGAAGATTTTTCCTCCCTTTCTGTCCCTGTGACAATTGGATTTGGAAAATGTTGGGTTGTCGTGGAAACAAGGATTGGTGATAAAGCTTCAGTGGAGACACCTTTTTCCCATGATCACTCTTACAGGACTGAATTTCCCTTCCTAGGGGTAGATTTCCTTTCAATTCCTGTTGTCTCAAGGACAGGAAGTGAGATAACATCTTTCTAATGAGGATACAGACAGCAGCAAAAACCTCACAGTGACCCGGAAGAAGAGGTGGGCAGCCCTTGTCTGCAAGTCTAACAAGAGCCAACTTCCTGTAATGTACGTACAGTACTACGAACTAGACCCAAAAAGACGGGCACTCCTCGTCGGCACGATCGCAGTAGCATTACAACTGCCCCTGCTGTACAGTAATAGCCTCCGTTTGTAATTAGCAGTCGTATGTAAGTCGAATATACGTAACTCGGGGACTGCCTGTGGCAAATAATTGTTTGATCCCCTGCAGTTTGCCCACTTACAAAGAAATGAGAGGTCTATAATTTTTATCATAGGTGTATTTTAAATGATAGAGACGGAATAGCAACCAAAAATACAGAAAAAACACATGATACAAATGTTATAAATTAAGTGGCAGTTCAGTGAGTAAAATAAGTATTTGATCCCTAAGCAAAACATTACTTAGTACTTGGTTGAGAAACCCTTGTTGGCAAGCACAGAGGTAAGACATTTCTTGTAGTTGGTTACCAGGTTTGCATACATCTCAGGAGTGATTTTGGTCCATTCTTCTTTACAGATCTTCTCTAAATCCTTAAGGTTACTTGGCTGTTGCTTGGCAACTCGAAGTCTCAGCTCCCTCCATACATTTTCTATAGGATTAAGGTCGGGAGACTGACTCGGCCACTCCATGACCCTAATGTGCTTCTTCTTTAGCCACTGCTTTGTTGTTTTGGCGGTATGTTTTGGGTAATTGTCATGCAGAAAGACCCATCCACGACCCATCTTCAGTGTTCTGGCTGAAGGAAGTAGGTTCTCATCCAAGACTTTACAATACATGGCCCTGTCCATGGGTCCTTCATGGTGGCAAAGTCGGCCTTTAGCAGAGAAACAGCCCCAAAGCATAATGTTTCCACCTCTGTGCTTGACTGTAGGGATGGTGTTCTTAGGGTCATAGTTAGCATTTTTCTTCCTCCAAACATGTGTAACACTCACCCCTAGAAAGGGTCGATTACCCCTTTGGATCTCAACTGTGGATAATGAAGCTATTTATAAGTACGGGTACCCTGTTTCCCTGAAAATAAGACCTACCCCAAAAATAAGACCTAGTACTATTTTTGGGAATTGCTAAAATATAAGACCTACCCCGAAAATAAGACCTAGTTGTGACCATTGCCAGGGCTGGTGGTGGCATAAGGGGGAACCTGAAGAGTCGTGAGAGAGAATGGAAAAGTATGGGGTGCCAATGAATGGAAAGTATGGCACCCCTGATTGCCCTGATCATTCTTAACTTTGCCATTTTGGATTATTTCATTTGGATTTGCATTAATTTTGGATTGTTATACATTAAAAAATAAAAATAAGAACTACCCTAAAAAATAAAAATAAGACCTACCCTGAAAATAAGACCTAGTGTGTTTTTTTGAGCCAAAAAAAATATAAGACAGTGTCTTATTTTCGGGGAAACACGGTATCAGATCGCAGCTACTCCTCATATGCCTTGTATTTGAGAAGGTGAAGAGGGAGCTGCTTCACATCACACCCCGTATACAGGAAGGACGGCACAAATGGTTCTGAGTAGGTAAGTATAGCCTGGATAATAACAGTATCAGCATGAGCCCCTAGAGGGCAGCAACGTTTTAGCCACAGTATTGCAAGTCAATATGGCAACAGTAATCAATGTAGTAGAGGTGACAGTGGTATGTAGCCCATTGGATACTATTTTAGCTGTAGTGAGTAGTAGCAGCCATTGTTATATAGGTAGATGGAGGAAGTCACTTATAGGCATTAATCAGTTTGGAGTCCTGGAGCTACAGCTCTATAGCCCAGGGTACTTGCGGCTGTGGTAGCTGCAATTCCCGTTGGATCGGTCCACAGATCCAGGGTCCAGTGAGGCAAGTGGGAAGCTGAGTTGATCAGCGTCCTGCTACAATCAACAGTAGGACTCCGATTAACTAGCGAGCAGCGGCTTTAAGCCGAGTGCTCGATCTAGAGGGGGCGGAGTCCCACGGAGCGCCTGCGCATGATGTTGACTGCCCTGGAGAGAGAGGCGGCAGAGAACCGCGGCGCACCTGGGCAGGACGGGACGGACAACGCCACTAGACCCCACCAGGGTACGTCTGTTACAGTACCCCCTCCTCAAGGGAACCCTGTCAGGGTTCCCACGAGGAGAAGGACGATCAGGATATCGTCTGTGAAAGAGCAACACCTTCTGCGGGGCATGGACATCCAGAGAATCCTCCCACGAGTCTTCTTGAGGACCGCAGTCCTTCCACCGGATGAGATACTGTAAGTGATTCCTATATCTGCGGGAGTCGAGGATCCCCTCCACCTCAAACTCTTCCTCACCGTCAACGACGACGGAAGGCGGAATCAGGGGTACCCGATCCCGGGAAGGGTTCTGGTGGAAGGGCTTGAGGAGGGAGACATGGAATGTGGGATGGATCCCTAGATCGGCAGGGAGAGAAAGCCGCATGGCGGCGTCATTTACAACCTTTTCGATAGCATAGGGACCGATAAAAAGCTTACTAAACTTCCGGGAAGGGGTTTTCAGATTCAGGTTCCTGGTAGACAACCATAGTGGGGAGGCTGTCGGCGCCTGAGGTCGTAGTAAACTTTCTGTCTCTCCTGAGCCGTTTTAATGTTGGCTTTTATGGCCTCCATGTTCTGCTGCCAGCTGGCCATATAGGCATCAGAGGTAGAGTTGTTGGAACGGATAATGTCCGAGGGCAGAAGAACAGGATGGAAACCACAGTTGGCCTGGAACGGGGTGCGTTTAGTGGAAGAGCTGGTAGAGTTATTGTAAGAAAACTCCGCTAGGGCAAGTAGATCCATCCAATCATCCTGGAGATAGGTACAGTAGCTACGGATGAATTGCTCAAGGCATTGATTGATCCGCTCAGTCTGGCCATTAGTTTGCGGATGATGGGCACTCGAGAGTCGATGCTCGATCTTAAGGTTCTGACAGAGCGCCTTCCAAAATTTCGAAATGAATTGCGACCCACGGTCCGTTATGTTTCGAGCAGGCACTCCATGCAGTTTGTAAACCGTTGCAAGAAAGGCTTCGGCAGTTTCCTGGGAGTTCGGAAGTGCCATTTTGGTCAGATGATCGACCGCGACCAGGATGGTGTCATGACTCTTGGATACGGGGAGGTCGACAATGAAGTCCAATGACACCACCTCCCATGGCTGGTTGGGTACGGGAACATTAGCCAGCAACCCATATGGAGGGCGTCTCTCGTGCTTACAGGAAGCACAAACTGTACAGGTGGTCACATATTCAGAAACGGTCATCTGCATCTTCGGCCACCAGAAATACCACCGTACAAGCTTGAGTGTCCTGTTGAAACCGGGATGACCTGCGGTTGGGGAATCATGCAGGAGTTTGAGGATCGAAACGTGCGTGGAAGGGGGAATGTACAGTTTGGAGTGGTGGTAGAGGAACCCCTCATCATCACGCTCAATACCAGGAGGATGATTGGTCACAGATTTTTAGTCCGTTTTGAGTTGTTGCTTTAGATCACTGGTGGTGGCAAGCGCCCTTTCCAGGGGTATGATTGAAGTGGTTACAGTGTCTGCTTTGGCAGAGTCACTGATCCTGGAAAGAGAGTATGCTTTACCATTCTTTAATCCAGGTCTGTACGTTATGACTATCATGGATATTTTGTTTGGACTTTGCGCAAGAATCTCCG